GGATGTGCTTCCCCCATTTACTCATAAGAACTGTACTACCCACTCCAAACAATATTAACATAACTGTGACGTAAGTAGTAGTTTCAAGACAACAGCAGAGGATCTCACATTTGGCTGCGGATCCTTTGTTATAATTCCATTAGCGAAGTGTTTAACGAACAGAATGGGAACACGGTAACTGCCAAGTCCTGTAAAAATTAGCAAATTTCATGCAATCCACGCAACAAAGAGTTGACGCTGTGCAACTCGTTTCGAAAATTAATTATTTCTTTTGCGACGCTGTTTTAACTGCTGCCATCCAATTAAATAGGAAGTTCACGGTGATAGCTAAGGATTCAGGCGGCGGCCGTGGCCTATTTCAAGGTCTTATCACGGCATTCACTCAAAATTACTTAAGAAAAACCAAGATTCGAACCAGATATCTTCCGAATAATGTTATCGCTACATTAATATGCTCCGTATAGCAACGATTTATATACAGTTATGGCAATTCGTACATGCAACTGCGACTTTATGCATACATTTGCACAACACATTTATAACAGAATACACGAACACATTAACACATTATGGGAAGGATCATTTTACTACTCAACACTCTAATTGCACAAAAATAGCTATAGAAAGAAGGCCTACATAAAATATCACTGACAAATACAATTAAAGGATCAATATACATAGTGAATCAATAAGAATTGGGGAGAAGCAGTTGTGATTTATTGTAGGTTGTGATTCAGTAACCCGGTAGAAATCTTCTCGCACATGTTGCAAGTGATGGAAAAGATTACTACCTATCTCAAGGTACTGTACCAACATTCATTATAACAGCTTAAAAAAAATGAAAGCTAAAACAGCAAGAAAATCTTCATGCATTCAGCATTAACATTATTCAATGTACAATCAATAAATTTCACTGTATTACCATGATTGCAAAATTCTCTAAGCTTGTTGATTCCTGACACCTTTTAGAACAAAGATTTAATACCATAACAATGAAATAGCCACACCTGCCAAAGAATGGAATTTTTCTTCATATTTGCTTCACTAAATACAGCAATAACGCATGAGCTAAATCAAGTACTGAAGAAACGTGTGGAAATTATTTCCACAAACCAAGAACAGTACACTAGCAGAAATAATAGTAATAATATTCACAAATCAGTGGAACTGATGACAAATGTAAACTGCATTAAAAACCACTTTACTGAAAATAAAAACAAGTTCTCAAAAAAGAAAAGCAAAGGAATATCAAAAGACAGAAATAACATATTTATTTGACAACAATCTTCTAAAATACCATTTGTGTACTATTATCATTAACCTTTAGTACTGAACACAGCCGGAACTATTTCCGGATCATCTAACAATGACATGATTCAGCATTAATGGTCTTGCCACTGTGGGTTTTTCTTTTACCAGAGAGTCAGTTCATTGATCATGAAACTCACAATACACATGAGTCTGAAACTTTAACAAAGCATATTGCTACTACAATGCTGCCAATTCTTATTGACACGGGTAAATTATCTACAGCTTACTACGAAGTCTTATTGAGTGTTATTAGGATGAAAAATGCAAATCTTTTGCAGCTGCAATTATTATATTTCAGTGTTAAGGTCTTCAATCTGTGTTCTAAAAGACGCCAGGAATCAAGCTATTAATAACAAAAATATTACAGAGAATCTTGGACTTGCACTAAAACAGATTAACTTTTAAATACTTGAGAGAGTGCACTAAAAAGTTTAAATTCAATGATATTAATCTATTCCACATAAATGAAAAATATTATATACTTTGTCCTGGATTTGGATAGCTTGGTTTAACTAAGAATACTTGGTGGCAGATGACAATATGGGTTCCAAGCTCAACAAAAAATTTAAATCAGTGTTATAATCAAAATATTACATAGAACTTACAAATTTACCTCCTGTTCAATAACACATGCAAAAACGTTAAACCCTGAGATGTCACTTAACCCTACACATAAAAATAATCTTTCTTAAATCATATTTCATAATTCTGCTTTGTTATTGTTCCATAAGAGAAATAAACATTTTCAAAATGTAACTAAACAAAATTAGTAACAGCTGGATATGTAATTTTGAAGTAAGGTATTTTTAACAGGCGCCTTCTTTAGTGTTGACAGATCCATGGTAAGTAAATCAGTATAGATTCTGACTAATGACCGAATGACCAGGGTTTCATCCCCAGCAGAGGCAGAAGATTTTTCTTCTAGCCTCCATGTCTAGACTGGCTCTGAGGCCACTCCAGCCTCCTGTCCAATGAGTACCAGGGGTCCTTTCCTCAGGATAAAGTGCAGTCGGGGCATGACACTGACTACTCACCCCCATCTCATGCCAAGGTCAAGAACAACTAGGAGAAATACCTCCTCCCCAAGTGCCACCATGGCATCTGGTGGGAGATATCTGCTTCACTTTACCTTACTTTTCTCCTCCCCCCCTTCAAGGAAAATTGAATGTAAAATTATCCCTTATGGAACACCTCAAGAGTAGCATCTCCTGCACGTTCTTGCAGAACGTAAAACTAGTCATGCTATGGTAAGTAGGACAACATGACCTGGACGATCAATGCAACTATTTGGGGGAGAAAAAATGTAGTTGGGATGTGTTGCCCACAGATAACCAAAAAAGAATAAATACAATGCAGCTATCTCTGATCACTGCCATCAAAATGATGGCTGACTTTTACAAAAGTGTTTATATGTTTTAATATAAAAATAATTACAATGCTATGTCATAGCTTAGGTGACTAAGACACTGCCTTATCACCATCAAGACATTGTTCAACTGTGGGTGACATCATGTAAGATTCGTGGTGAATGAATTGGCACTGTAGGAGATTTTTCTCATAATTCTTCAGTTTTTCCTGCCAATCATCACCATTGCCCCATACTTGTTTATCACCACCCCATGAGGTGGGCAACAGCCCTGACCAAGCACCACATTACTATACCATTGCTTGTTAGTGACTTATGTTAATTTACTACAAGCTCTTGTAATTCAAAATATAATCTGATGTTATTTTGCTACCTGAATATTCATTCTGACCACAAAAGTCTAAAGTCTTCATTATGACACAAGAAGCTGCAAATAAAGTTTCCATCCTGAGATTATAAAGCCAGCTGTGTGGTAATATAAGATGCTTATAATCTACTGAGCACAAACTCAGAAACTCACAGGTATTCTAAAAACACACATTTCGAAGATCAGATCTGTCTTCACCCTCAAGTGAAAAGAATAAGCACCTTATCTATTGAGTCCATTACAAAAGGGCTAATCTCAATCACTGATTAACTCCTTCTTATAGACGCGATAGAATAAGTGCCCACTCCCCTTCCTCACACCTGAGGATGAAGACAGATCTGGTCTTTAAAACAATGCATATTTTCAGAATACCAGACAATTAACAGAGTCCAAACACGAAGAAATTCAGATTTTAATATCACTGTCAGAACCCTTTAGAACTGGTTTAAAACAGTTGATGTTTTGTCAGCACCCTTCCCATTACCAAATTTTATATGGTACATGACTTGTGTAAAAATAATGATGAAATTTACAGTGATCTTGAAGAGAGCTTTATAGCTTAAATAGTCTTCTGCACTTCAATCTAACATTCACTAATTCTTCCACTGAACAATGGGTTATCCTTAATACATCCCTAACCTCTTCTTGGGCCGTAGATGAAAATCTATGAACATGTCTGCATTGACATCCTTGCTCACCCAAATATTATAAATTCTTAGTATAAGTTTTATAAGAAACACACAGCCAGCTAACTGGTACAAATAAACACATTTCCATCTTTTGTGATCTGAACTTCCAAATCACACCATGAAATAGGCTAAATCCCAAAAGTCTGGAATAATACACAGCATCCAAAGCACATCACATTTAAGTAACAGTCCACACAATCATTAAAATGTATTACATTTTCGTAAAATGTACATATACATTGTCCACTCCTATTCAAACTGTCACGAATCAATCTCTCTTTACTTCGCTGTTTACTAGGAATTTCTCCTTCCCGGCACTAAATAATACACAGACTTCAGAACAACTGTATTATTGCCGATAAATCTGGACATGAACAACCAATTAGCCTGTTTGTCAAACTTGACATCATCTGACCAAAACGAAGGGCAGAGTAAACCAATATAAATTTTTCACCCCAATGTTGTCAAATGTCTTATACTTACCACTTTCGATGTATGGAACCAGTAAAAGCAGGAAGACGATATATCCACACTCATTTAACATGATCCCACATTTAAAATGTACACAACAGTTTCAAAATCAAACCTTAAACCAAGCCATTCACTAAAAACTACAGCCTACCGCTTCAACACATCACAAAACCTTTGTCTCCATTTCTTCTTGCGCATGCGCGAAACCATGTAACTATCACGACCAGCTACCACGACAAATTTACGTTAAAAAAATATAATTTTCCTATTCCGAGCATTTTGCATACTTTGGTAACAAATTAATAAGTTTTAACACAAGTTTTACTTGTACAATAGGGTGGGGAAAAGAGCATAAACAGTCTCTTTCTTTTATAATTTTTATGTATTTTTTCAGTCATAATATATGCAATTTGTAGCATTTCTTAACGATATTCAACAAGTCAAAAATACTTATTCTCGCCATCAAGATTATGAAATGAAAATTAGCGCTAATGAATTAGAAATTAAATTTAATATTATGGATTTCGTTTAGCTATCTTGTTACTTTTGTGTGTTTATTATTACATATATAACCTGAATGATTAACTTGAGCCCATAATCTTTGACAAACTGTACTACCACACATGTTCTTGAGCCTTGTTTTCTAAAAGAACAATAACAGCAACATTTAAGCATTAGTTATAGAACTGAATGGCGTGTTTGTCTGCAGGTTAATATATAATATTAATTATACCAATACAATCTCTACTTAAAATAATGATTGCAGGCATATAGTTGGAAATTAAATGTCCTCATACCAATTAAAGCACTGATTTTATATCTTGTACCATTATTATTTCATAGTCTCTTGAAAACACATACCTATACAGAATGTTTCTAAATTATATGTAGGGTAGCTTCTAGACATCAATATTAGTCATTATTCATTATACCATACTAATTAACAATGTTTATTAATTGAGGTATACCTACATGATGTTTCAGAAGTTGCTTGTATGCATGTCTTCAGGTCATTGGTTGTCATAATGCTAACAGTCTAGGGGTTACCATATTATTCCTGTATTTAAAGGGACATAAAAAAGATACAAGGGCCTTTGAATACATAATATGGCATAAGACATAAGATTAGTCACAATGATTCATTTTACAAATTATTGAATAAATATATATACATAACATTCATATAATCATAGTATCACTATCTTTTAGTTCTACACAAAGCAACAACAATATTCTTCATTAAGTTTTACAATCCTGAAATGGAATATTGTCAAGTTTTCTTGTGTTTGGCAGTATCCGTAACTCTGAAAACAGAAGAAAAAATAATATGAAATGTACATTCTCAGAACAGAAGAGATAATTTGCACATTGCAGACATTAAAGGTAACTTTATCCCCATGCTTATTCATGCAAGCATGCAGAGAAGATAAGTATGAAATATGTTACCAATATAGTGATACATTTTAGGGTTCCAGAAGTAGTACACTATGTACTGCTTTACATATTCAACTGCATTATGTGGTCCTTATAAAATATACATGTATATATAGCAATTAGCCTGGTACATACCATATTTTCCAGGTTCAACTTCACGTGCCTGAACTACAGATGTCTTTAATTCTTCTTCCACAGCTTTAGAAAGATTTATCATCTGTAAATACAGAAGGCATATAATAAAATGCATCAGACATACAATACAGTATAAGCTAAGACATAATTCTAAACAGTCTGTTACAAACAGAAATTACCTCATTCACAGCTTCAGAATTTGTAACATGTTTATTCTTTTTATATTCTTCATTAATTCTTTTTCTTGCAGCTGAAACATATTACTCAGATATTAGCATTGGTGTCTTGACTGAATAAGATATTTTGTTCTCTTAGAGTATCAACATTGAAATGGCCAATTACAAAAATCAAAGCACTCATTCAACAGCCAAATTGTGTATTAACATTCAACAAAAATGAAGAGTATACATGGAAATTGATAGTATATCATTGAATGACCATTTGTATTTACTATTTAGCAAACTCTTCTCAATCACTAACTGCACTGGGTAGTGATCCGTTTAGTAACTTGCAGAATTTGTGTTTCATTTTTTCTTATTACACACAAAAGAAAAGTAATGTAAAGCAAGTTAGCTAATCTAGTCTGTCAACAGATATATATACATGTGTGTGTGTCAAAATATGAGCAAAAATTATTTGATTTAACTGCACACTTCTATGGAACAACACCAGAACATCAAGCCAACAAATAAAAGTATCTAATCACCATATTGTAAAGGTGATCAATAAGATTAGATTTTGGTCGTGTGTGTTGCTGCACAAAGTGGTCTTGTGCTTTTATACCAACATTTCAGAAGGAAATGCTACCTTGAACTTTGGGTCTCCAGGGAATAGGATTAGAATTATTATGGGTTCATAGGGACAGCAATATGATTTGAACAAGGAGCACAGGTATATTAAAAGAATTAACACCCTCTCACTTTTGCTCTGAAGATGGAAGCAGCATGTTCCTACAAAACGTTGATAAACAGCCACAAGTGTACACAGCAAAAGAACTAAAAAAACGCTTTTTTGAAACGTATCCACAAAAGTTTGGTAAAAACGTATTTTACCTTGCCGGCAAAGTTTTTACGTAGTTACAACATTGGGTAATAGATGTCAGCAGTATTACCTCCATGAAATGAAACTTTTTGTATTTAGTATTCCTATTTTGTCGACAAATCCTAACTCAGCGGCAGGTCAGGATATCTATAGATCTAGCAACCAGAAATAAAATGTTATTTCTGCCATAAATTTAGCATTTTGTAGCATGACCAATTACACATCGCAATATGTTATGCTAGGTAAAAATCAAAAACATAAAAGCCAACACGTAACTATACTGTACCTTGAAGGGCAAAATGGTCATCTTGAAAAGCAATTTGTCGGGTTCTGTGAAGACGTTTAAATGCTTCCAACACCTGTAACATGTTTCAAGTGTTATGTTTTCGCGTTGCGTTAGGTTGGTGCAAGACCATTTTCGCTGTGCCGCAGTTTACAGGTGCGACACTTTGAGCCATGTACTTCCGGAACGTACGGCAAGGTTAGGTACACATTTCATAGGTAAGCCCAACAAACAAAATTACAATTATTTAAAGCACTTACTTGCTTGTTTACTTTATTGATTTCATCACATCCATACGATAAGTTATTACGTAAAACAAAAAGTGTCTTACCTGACGTTTTAATGAAGTGTTCATTTTATCACTAATGCAATCTTCGAAATGTCGATTATAAAAATGTATCTTTTAGCTTATACTTGTGTATTAAACACGCGCTACGAAAGTCAATTTGTTACTACAATCGTTCTGATGTACCTCTTCGTTTCGTCTTATTTAAATGTCAACGAATTATAGTGCAGGAAACAAATAGGGATACACCTGTGTAGTGCGGAGCAGTGTTGATGAAGAGGTTTACAACTGCAGCACACATGTGCAAAGCGACGCTATGTTGTAACCAAGGCGCGAATTCAAATTATCACGTCAATAAATAGATGAAGACACACAAGGTTAATATTTGGCATTGTGTCTTTTTTTTGACACCTGTATTTATTTTGTGTCACTATGTACGTAGATTGAACATCTCAAGTCAAATGATAAGCACTTCTGTGTCATATTTAGGAGGTTCTGGGTTCAAAGTGATCCATGGACTGGGCATAAGGTTTTCTGTAGTTTTCAACAGTTCATCCAGGGAAATGCTGGAACAGTAGTTCAAAATAGGTCACAACCAATTCCACATCCATTCCAACACATTACCAGTGGAGAGGGTAAAGCATCATACATAAACAAAGAAACGCATTGTGTTTTATATGCATTTTGAAATATTTTAATGAACACTACAGAATGAGTTTTTATTTATACAGCAATTATGGAAGCCTGTCCACAGTGTCACAGACCTAGTAGGTCACCACATACTCGTTTAGTTCAAGATTCCTGTGGGCATAAGAAGTGTCGACTGTGTCTTATGAAAGATGAGGATGGGTGTCGCCTGTGTGCTGCTAAAGATGAAACAACTGGTTAGTTTCCCAAACATCATTACTTAACAAAGTTCTCTAAAGGTTTTCCTTTTCCTAGTAGGAAAGTTGATAACCACTGCTTTGTACTTTGAAGGGCATCTGTCCCAAACTTGTCATTACTGGTTGATTTGTTTAATATGTGTTTAGATGTGCATTCCCTCAAGTGCTGAGATAATATACAAAGATAGGCCATAACTAGTTCTCACATCACAGTACTTCATTGATGCCATTATTTTTCATGCTACATAATACCAGCAGCTGATACTGTGCCACAGTAAAATATGAAACAAATGTTTGTTTTGTATCTCATACTGCTGTTGGTAAGAAGGGCCAATACAAAAAATTAATAGCTGCAGTTCTAACCAAAATTTATATTTACATATTTTCATATGTAAAAAAATTGCCTGATGTATTAGTAGAAATGGCATAGCAGTGAAAATGGAGCCATGCCATGCAGTAGTTTTAAACAAGAACAAAGTGGTTCCAGGAGTCTCATTTTTGTGGGAAATAGTTCAGTATTCAGTGTGTATATTTGTTTAACTTTCAGAGATTTCATAGTTAAATTGTAGCTGCAAAGCTTCTCTGGTTTTCAACAGTCACATATAGTAATGCATTGAGTGACAGTATGACATAATTAAAGCCCTCAGTTAGTAGTATTGACTGTAAAAACTGGTCTCAGGTACAACTTCATTTGAATATTTAAACGTATATTTTATTAAATCTAAAACTTCTTGACGATGGTGAAGAGTCAATTGAATAAAAATTTACTTGGATATTATCCATCGTCTAGTAATAAAACGTAAAAAACGTAAAACGTCGTTTCGGAGATGTTATTGTTTTATGAAACTTGTTGAAGTAGAACCACATCCATTTTGCACTGGATTGTAAAGGTCCTATTTTGTATATAATACGGACATCACATCTTATTGAAACTCCATCATTACCCAAAATAAAGTTTCTGTTTTGTCTGAAGAGTAGGTTTGATATGTTAACTGAAGTTACGCTGGTAAAAATAAAGTATAAAGATAATTTGCAATCATCAGTGCATGCTGCAGTAGCTGTTGTTATTATCTGTCTTTTAAATTTTTGTTGTTCTTTCTTACATCAGTGATAAAAAAAGAACAAGGTGGAAAGAGGCTACCAATTTCTCCAGTTAACATTCGACGACACAGTCAGAGAAAGCTGCTAACAACAGTCTCTGGAAACAGCACCACTATACTACGTGCTGCAGTAGCAGAAAATGACATTGTTAATGTTAACAAAAAGAACATTTTTAAGGATTCTGAGGAGAGAGAGAGAGATGTAGTAAGGAGTCCAGAAATGGAGACTTTTTTAACTGATAATGAAAACCATGATAGGCGAAGTGATGATAGTTCGACTTATTCTGAAGAGACAATTAAGGAGAAATCTGGCCTTGAAGCAGATGTGAATTTGCCTACCAACAAGGTAGAATGTGAAGAGATAGATACAGCAGAGGTGAAATTGGAAAGGAAGAGGAAACCTATGGTTATCGCCAGTCACATCACTGTAGCACAAGGTAGAGACATAATGCACATAAAAAGTTACACAAACTCTCATGCTGCTTTCAATTTGAAGGTGCCTCTTGCCAAACAGATGATATGAACAGCATAAAGTACTAACTTTGGCAAGCAGGCAGACAACTTTTGATCCTTCCCCAAAATCAGTGAGCAATGACTTGAAAAAATTTAAAAAATAATAACTTACATATCTATTTTAAAAATGTAACTATAACAGTAATGTTAAAAATTTAAAACATCATAATAATCAATTAATTTGTGAACCAGGATAGCTGTGTCAGAAAAGCGCCTGTCTGCAGACTGGATGGCCAGGATTCAGTTTTAACAGGTGTGGAAATTGTTCTCTTTGTTGTCAGACTGGTTCTGGGGTTCACCAAACTAGAGTTTCTTTCACCATGAGGAAAGACTCCAGAGCATGAGGCTTACCACTTATTCCCACCTAGTACTAACGATGAGAATGTGTGGCCTTCAATTTTTACACTCAGTGTCTGTTTGTCATACCTCATGTTATTACTTTCACAGAAGCAAAAATTGTATTTGGTAATACTGATTCAATGTCTGTAACATATGAGTCTAACCTGTTTCAATTCAGAATTGAATTACATAGTTATTAAAAAATAGGAACTAAATGTTTGTAGATTGATGTTGCTTGGTTTGGATCCTTGTCCAGTGATTATAGGAACAAGTTTTGAAAATGATGGTATGTTCATCTGTGTTATGATGCCTTGTAGACTCATAAGTAGATACCAACTTTCTGGATCAACATATTTTCTGTCTTCAGGAGTGGTGTCATAACCTAGAACATAATCATCTTCACTATGATGAGAACCTCAGATCTTACATTTTTGCAGGTAATCCTACAATGTACACATGCACAGTGTGTGTGAAGACATTCAAGCGACGAGAACATGTTCGTTATCACAATTTTTGTGCTACAGGAGACAAGCCTTTCAAATGTGATCTTTGTGGACAGTGCTTTGCTTCCAAGTCACATTTTGAGTGTCATCACCTCAATCACACAGGTCGGTTAGGGTTCTTTCACTAATTCTAAAAGACATGATATAATTAGACATTTGTTATGAAAATATGACGGTAAGCAATCAGTGTGAAATTGTCTGACTATGAAGAAAGTGTGGAAAACTTTTAGGATTTTTATACAGTTAATGAAAAATATCTTCATGACATGTGCAGGTAAAATCTTCCAACTGTGAAGTTTTAGCAACTGCTTCTGTAAGCAGAAAAAATCTAATCATCTTATTTTTTGTTAATCAAATAATACATTGTTTGCTATTTTAAATGAAGAATGTTTCATGTAGATTTAGTCACTACATTATTTAACCTTGTACATTGATAGCAAATCTTCACAACTTGTGAAAAATAGTGCCACAAAGCACATTTAAAACACATTTGTAAAAGTCAAGTCTTTAACTGTGTGAATCTGGATTTGGGTAAAGGGGTTACTGAATCACACAAAACACATTTATCTGTTTAATGCGGTCATGTAGCACTCTGTACATTCACACAGCCATTGCTTTTAGACTCAGTTTTTATTTACTGTTCCACATCTCGCATAGTCTGTCTGTACTTGGTGTTGGAATAGCTGAACTTTCCAGGCAATAACATAAATCACATGATTTTTATAATTGTAGGTAACCAAAGGCTAAAAAAGCACACACAATGCCAATTTTGGTTTCCTACCAAAATGTTCTGTTTCCTTAATTTTCTATTACAACATGAAGATGAAGAATATTATACGTTTGCATCATATCAATATTTTGAAGCTTATAAACATTGATCAATGTACACTCATATGTCCAATTCACTTCCATTAGATGTTCCTATAATTTCTTCCCAATATATGCGCTTTCTTGAAAGATATAAAATGTCAGTTTTTGGAAGAATCTTTAGTTGTACTCTTTCATGTTGGAAAGTTTTATCTCCTTCATGCTTTCAGGTGCTCGGCCATTCGTTTGTGAAACATGTAACAGGGGTTTTAGGCAGAAAGACAAACTTACTCGGCACATCAGAATTCACACAGGTAACAATGTAACTGATCATATTACTTAGATTTATGCTGTTAATTGAAACTGAATTCTTTAAAAAATGGACAAAGAACAAGAAAGAGATGTTTCTAGAATAGACCATCTTGTTTCTGCCAATACACTATTCATAATTCCAACATCATACTTTATTCCATAAACCTTGCAACAACAATATGAAAAATTACACAATAATAATGGTTTAATGAGTGTCATCCTGCTTTACACATCTTCCCAAAGAGTTTCATCACGCACGTTGTAACAGAACTAGACTGCGTGTTTCTAGGACCAGTAAACATATTGTTTCCTTATCCATTGTAACAAACCATATCTCATTATAATCCATCCAGAACAAAACTTGAAGACTTTCATATTCCGCAAACTTCCAATATCGAAAACCTGGATTCAGACATTTACAAATTTGCAGATGTACTACTGGTATTATTCTCAAAGTAAAATGCTAATTCCAATGATATGATTGTCACTTGAAGGCTTAGTTTAACATATTAACTGTGAAATGAAGCAAATTCACTTCATATGGAGACAAATTCCTTTTTAATGAAACTATCAGAACTGCCAAACTGCAAATTTCACTCACTCGAACACACTTATGATGGAATTCCAAAGGGATTTTAGCTTCATGTGAATTAGGGTTTGTATTTAGCTGATATGATTAAAAAATAAATGTACTCAGCATTTAGTATGAAGTTCTAGTACTAAATTTAAAGGAAATACATCTGCAGTTTGATACGAAACATACAGGCAGGTAGACACAGATACATTCTTCCGATTATGAGTTCTTTATGCAAATAAATTAAACCAGCTATTGTACTTTTTAAGCATGTGTAAAATCTTCTATTTATTTATCAAGGGAAAACAAAAGCAATTTTGTACTCTACCAGAACATGTCCCCTTGTTATAGAATTAGCTGCATTTACCCTTGATAATGACTTAAATATATTCATAAAGCTGTATATGTGAACAATAGATATGTCTTTAATCCTGCCCAAGTTACAACTTTGAATGCAGTATCAATACTGAAATATATACTAAGCTGTATTGTTGTGCATAGGTGAACGACCATATGTATGTCAAGATTGTGGTAAAGGCTTTATAGCATCACACAGTCTCAAAACACATCAGCGAACACACACTGGTGAGAAACCATACCTTTGTCCTCACTGTGGACGCGGATTTACCGAAACTGTGAATCTTCGCAAACACATCCTTGTACACACAGGTAATTGTTTCCTAGGATTGTACTCCATTTTATTTTTTGGAAATAATGTTTTATGAATGTTTTGATTTAAAAAATTTAAGAAATAGGTGACAAAGTAGAGATGTCTTACAGTTAGAGTGTTAGACGCTGAAGTACTTTTTTTATCATGGAACACTGAATTACTCACGTATTTCATCTGTGAGGAAATTATTGAAATATATGTATGGAAACAAGTTTTCCTTAGTGTGAATACATTCATAAAACAATCTAAGTTAACACTGCAAAGTAAGAATGGGATAAAAAATGCATAAACATTTGCAGCTAATACAGACTAAGAATAAAATTCCAGTTCAAGTTAGACCCATCCTCATAATTTGTATTCATCTAAAATGTTAGGCATGTATGAGATGTACAGGGCACATACCATGCATGGAGTATTGAGAAAAGCATGCTAAATATACGTCGGAATATCTCAAAGGAATTGACCATGTAGGAATATATATATGTGTGTGTGTATGATTACCATTATTAAGTCTGGTCTTACAAAAATTGATTTTGATGGTGCAAACTAGATTCATCTGGCTGAAAACAGGGTGCATAAACAGACTTTTGTGAATAAGGAAGTGATCTTAAGTATTTAAATTAATCATCTGTTTTTAACATTATTTTATTTTACTTTACAAATGCAGGAGAGAAGAATTTTATGTGTGAAGGATGTGGAAAGAGTTTTGGACACAAGTGGGCTCTCATTCATCACCAGCGAACTCATTCACGAGAACGTCCACACAACTGTCACATCTGCTCACGTGCTTTCACGAACAACAAGGATCTCAGACGTCACTTTTCTGTACATTCGGGTAAGCCACTGGGAATTCTCATTATGGAATGATGTTTACATGTAATCTCTTAAGTATTTTTGGTGTGGATTGCCGATTTATGGATGAACATGATGAAACTAAAGGATTTTCAAAATGCTCCTCTGTTGTGTGTCATTCTGAACACTTCAAACATCAGTTGATATGTAGGTTAGATAGAGGTTCAAGATCTTGGGTCTTTGAATCTGGACTGGACTTATCTGACTTGCAGTACAGACAGGTGTTGGGCTCTTGTGAATATGGTAATAACTATTTGAGTTTCACAAACGGCAGGGAATTTGGTTGAACTATTAGCTTTTCAAGAACTCTGTGCTCCGTGGAGATAGTTTGGCCTCAGTCCCCCATTAGCCTCTTCCTGTGTGATTTTACAATGAAAATATAGTGATGCATAATCTTAATGATGATATACATAATCTATATTTTCAGACTGAACACTGTTCTATACTGGTTGAAATGCTTCATGAGAAAGACATGTACAGCACAAGTGTGTTATATGTAAGATAAGTACAAAAAGGTTTGTTTTCTTCCAGATGTACGTCCATATAAGTGTTCAATATGTGATACAAAATTCAGACGCAAAGATAATCTCGAGCGACACATGAAGAACACTCATCCTGAGACACGTATAACTTCGCTCAATCTCCTCAACAAAAACTGCAATGAGCACTTAGTGAACACATCCAACCTTCAACAGCAGCAGAAGATTACTGAATTAAATGGTACTGTCAGTAATAATGCACATCATCCCACAGACAACCTGGAAAAGGTCTCAGATAATATCTACAAACAAACAACGCTGCAAGAAACACAAGTTGAAACTTTCTGCATGACAACAGTTCCCTACAGTAGAACAGAAACTCAACATACAGCAGATACACAGGAATCCAGCTGTATTAAACCAGTGTCCAGGCCAAATAATTTTGAGACTTCACAAACAAATGTTAAACTTACGAGCAGTTTTGCATCATCAGATGTCTCTATGACAACGGCCTTGCCTGTCTCAAACAAAGTAGCTCAGAAATCTCAACCACAGACAATAACAAAATGTCTTAAAGACATGCTGGTTCCTGTTCATGACATGAATATTACAAGCTTTAAGGAAATGTTGGATCCAGTTCATGATACAGGTTTTACAAACTTTAAAGAAACCATCATTCCAGTTCAAGATATGACAATTACGAAATTTCTGGAACCAGCTCGTACTACGAATATTGCCACCTTTAAAGACATGTTAGATCCAGTTCATGACATGAGTATAGCAGGCTTTAAAGAAATGTCTGATCAAATTCGTGATACAAATGTTACAAGTTTTAAAGAAATGCTAGATCCAGTTCAAGTCACAAACATTTTTCCCAGTGGATCTCTATTTCAACAGATTCCAGAGGCAAAGCAACAAAAATCTCAGGCAGTTCCTGTGATCAATAGACCCATTACTCCTTCCCAGCAAACAATTTCATACGGAAGAACTGGAAAAACAAATGCAGGAAAAGAGAAGGTTGTAATGGAAGGTACCAACTGTGTTCCAACTATCACAAAAACATCAAATGTACTTCACTCCAGTGTTTTAAATGCTACAAACTATGGCCACCAGAATGTGTTTACAATTGTGAGTGCCAGCAGTGTAAGAACTTTTGCTTGTAAGAAATCCAGGAACATTTTGGAAAATAATGATAAGGAATCATGCATTGAGCTAGCTAGTCGAACATTGCAAAGCGATATACACTGGAGAAAACGAACCATGGGGCTTCTGCAGCACCAGCAAGAAATAGCTCGAGATAGTGGGTTAATTTAACTTTTACGTTTGCATGCTGAGAGTATGGTTTCCTAGCTTCTGTTTAAATGTACCTGCAGCCACTTTTTCTACAAGACATTTGTTATTTGCAGGCCAGCTGTGTTTGCACTATGAAAAAATTTGTAAAATGTTGTGTTAAGATTGTCAGTTTAAATTTGATTGTCATTTTGTATTATAAATAACCTTTTTATACAAATTTTTATGTAGCCTGCCCTGTTTGTTGTCCACTGTTCCATATCATTCTTTACCATTCAACTTTAAACATGGCAATGAAAGGATCATCACAATGGAAGATATAAAATCAAGGAAAAACACACTGATGGCCTGCAACAGATCAGACATAAAATGCTTTCCAAGCAGCAAATAAGTCATGTTGCTTTTCAGTGAATTACTTCAATTGGCTTCTACCTTACTCATCTTCATACCATGCTAAAGCTAAACTGAAATGGTTCTTAAAAGTAAAGGTTTTCTTGTGCGATATCAACAAAAGTAAGCATGTACAATAAAGACCATGTTTAATAGACAGTATCATTTCATTAATTAAAATGAAATTCAATACATAACACTGGAGAAGTTGCCATCTATCCCTAGAAGCATGTACTACTAGAAGTAGGCGTCTTTATTTTTAAATGTAACAAAAGCATGAATTAGTCAGTTGCAACATTGGATTCCTCCACACATCCAAGAAATATCGCATTCTGGGTCACTCATAAATGTAGATTATAAAATATACATATGTGCTGAACTCATCCCATCATGGAAACATAATATGCAGACTGGTAGTGACACCTGCATAATGCTAGTGTTGAATTGTTTTACCAGCTATCCTAGAGATGGCAGAATTGCAGTGAAAGTGTATCCACACATTCACAGTCAATTAGAGGCAACATTACAAATTATCTTCTGTGGGAATGTATATTCTCTTCGAAGGTTACAATTACTACATGCAGTTATACCACCTGAACAACATTGATGTTGCGAAGAAGAAAAGTGAGTGCATGTAAACTGGTTGAGCAAATCTCACTTCACTAGTCTTCAGTAGATGACGGTAGTGTGATGATCGGCTAAGGAATTACACAGGTGTTTTGAATGAAGTAAACATTTAATCGGCTTACTAAAATATTTCGATCAGAACTTTCTGCTTACGGTGCATTGACATATTCGGGATTTGGCGGTAACAGGTGTTGCTGTCAATTATAGTAGGGACCGTTGATATTAATCTATGAAAAGGCAATCTCGTATGTTTCTAGTTATTCCCTCTATTTATTCTGTGCCAGAATGATCCCACAGGCTATCAAATTCACGGACCTGCTTGCTTTGTGTTAATAGTTTGTAGTCCGGAGCAGATACTTGAGCAACATAAAAGGATAGGTATGTTTTGTACCAATATATTCGACAACAGGATTATACGTAACTTATAAATGTTTGCACCTTAATTCCCGAAAGTAGCATGTGTTTAAGAAATGGATGTAAAGACATGGGAGTAATTGTTTCGAGGCAGTGGTTTAATTCTACGTTTCTGGGTATAAAGTTCAGCAGCAATAAGATTTAACTATTGTTCTTGTAAAGCTAATTTAGATTGCATTTATTACAAAGAACTTATGAATTTTGTTTATTCGAAGTCTGGTCGAAACAGCTGGCGTCGAAATCCAATCAGAATTCAGAAGACTAGTCACATGATGATCGTATCTATTCAGTGAAGGAATGCCTTGTCATCAGTAGTACGAAGGAAATATTTTGTTATGCAAAGAGCGTTTGTGGTAAGCAGTGTATATAAGTATCAGATTTTATGTTCTTGGTTGTCGTGAACAATATAGCTAGAAAATTGTATTGATTGTGAAGTTCAGTTTCATTATTTGGAAAGGGAACGTCGCGAAAGTCGCCATTTTCTCGTAGCGTACCAGTGTTAATTGGTTCGTTAGTGGGTGTATTTGTAGCCAGAACTGCAGCTGAAAATACATTCTTGCAAAAGAAGCCTCAATAAGGAATATAGTTGGTGTAAGGAGACAAGTTTTCGGAATTACACAGTTGTGTGTTTTAATGCGTATGTGGTTATGTTGCAAGGAGGGAGAAACCAATATTATGCATTACATCTGTGTATGTTGCAGATACTGAAATTGCTTATTACATTTGCAGGAGATGATATTAAATCTGATTTCTTTTTTGGATAATGTGAAGTACCAAGGCATGTAGGTTTCTTATTGTTTGGAATATAAAAATATGACATTTTGGTCTGTTAACTCCAGTAATTAGTGGACTTTTAAAAACAGTGAAGTGTGAATGAGAATATGAAGCACCTTTCTTATTGGTGATGGTATGTGTTTTATTCTTGCAGATGACTCAGGGAAACATACTTTGAAGTAGTGTGGTTATGGATGCTGTGCTTTCACCACAGACAGCTCGTGAAGTTATATCAGCTCGTCTTTGTTCCATCTGAACTATTCTTCAGTCTTTTTTTTCTGCTGCTCTCATATACTTCGCCAGGGCATGGTAGGATCATTTTTTGTGTATATTTTTCAATGGGAAACAAAGGAAGGAATATTAATTTTTTAATTCCATGTTTAACATATTTCTGAATTTTGTAAAAAATTTCTGGTAATTTTTATTATGTTTCTGTATGTAATATGGTCACCATATTGCATTTAGCTACCCAATATGTATTATCTACTTTGCATAGTACATACATTGGGGTTGCTTCAGTGATAACACCATCTGCAGTTCTACCATTTGCGATAACTGCGTGTTGTTTTATTTAGTGGTGCATAATTGTGTTTGCATTATCTAGGTTGAATCCGTAGAACTAAAAAAAGAGATTGGTCATCCCTCCAACATCTCTATTCTCAGCACTCATGTACTACCCACAATTACAGTGTTACCAGTTCTTGCTTTATTAAATACTTTTCTTACCAGTATCATGTTCTATAAGAAAAGGGAGGAAAAAGAGGCCAAAATCCCTGTTTATGCACTGACATAACCTAAAACAAATCATACCATGCATGATGCTGCTTACTTTTTTACTGTTGAAGAAGGAATGATGGTAACCAGTTACTCTGAGGTGGAACATACATGCAAATAAACTGTATCACAAAAAGGGTGCAATAATTGTCAGCAATACCATTGCTTACACGTGCAAACCACATGCTGTTCATATACGACTTTGTATGTGGAGGACATCATTCTCAGTGGCACTCCAGCAGGTCCGTTTGTAAAGTGTTGCTCATCACCACATCCCAGAAGTTTTATGTCCATGTGACACAGGATCCTTATAATATATTATAAATTGCCTATTTTGTTGAAGATCCTAAATAAATCTGTGTTAGATCCTTCAGAGAACTTCAATATAGATCTTGGAACCCCGTGATTTTTACCATGTCTATATTTCTGAAACCTTTTTCTGCTTCTTTCAGTCACATTTGTAACCCAAGTAATGGTCATGTATGGTTGGAGTTGGTAACACTGTAAATCTTAATGGCCGAGTGGTTAACACTTTTACTTTGTATACTAGAGATCTTTGGTTCAAGTCTGAGTCCAGAGACTGTCTATTCAGATTTGTTCCATGTATTTTTCAGTTTATTATTATTATAATTTGACGCAAAACAGTCCAAGCTAATTATAGCTTTGTTAAGTAAACCATAAATAAATAATGTTCTTGGAGAGAGTTTATAACATGAGCAATCAAACTGTGTGGATGTGTGTGGAACCAAACCTGTTTCTTTAGTTCTGAGGGAGAGTGTCAAAGAACTTTTCTTCTGGGAAGTGCTCCATACTGGGTTTCAAGTTCTGAGTGAAATATCGGGCCATATTAATAATTTCATTCTGTGATGATGTAAGCTTTTATTTGAAGTCATTTTTTGTAGAAATTTAAATGGTGTGATATTAACACTTTACAAAATAGAGAAACTTGATCGTGATGCTTTTTCAGTCGTCTAAAATCATTGTGCCGTTTCCAGCACCCCAGCTGTATCGTGTGTAGTCTGGCAACAATACAAGTGACATAGCTATGTTGTAGAAACTGTATTTCAGTTACGGTGGCTGGGAAGCAGTTGGTAATAATTTTGTGATTTAGTACAGAATATTGCACAAATCTGACTTCATTTTTGTATTTTGCAACAGTTGCTATGATAGCAACTGTAGTTAGAGGGCGGGAACAGTGTGAAGTGTAAATGAAGAGAGGAAATGGTGTGCGTGCAGTAAACGTCCGTCACACAAGCAGCGAACTGTCCCGTCGCTAGGAAACTTTTAGGTCAGTGATGTGTTAATAAAGAATGGCTTAAGGAGCCATCAGGTGGAACCTTTTGCTGTGAGTACTATGCATTTTATTAACAGTTTGGTTGTATTAGTATTGTACATTTTGATGCTCTTTTCCTAATTCTCTTTGAATTCTTAAAATGTAATAATTTGCTGTAGGAATGCCACATGATCATATTTTGAAGTTTCATAGAAATTGCTTCATTGACAAAATGGTTATGGTTTTACATTGTTCGGAATTCGTAAATTCTTAGCAAGTAGTATGCTGTGTTAGATTTCCTGGTACTTGTGGGTTATCGGGACACATCACTTTAAAAATAGGTTAGGTTAGGTTGTTATGAAACTATATTTCAGTGATAGAGTGAAATGGAGGTGCGGTAAACAATCTTGCAGAACAACAACATAACCTAACCTATTTTTAAACCGGTGTGTCCCGATAACCCACAAGTACCGATTTCCTTTTACCAATTTGCATGGCAGTTACATTTGTAAGTTTAATTTTACTTCGCAAGTTGTTGGGGGGGTTGTATTTTTGAGCATTGGTTATTGATTCTATTTCAGAAAATCTGAATAATTTTTATAGAAGTTAATGTTATATCGATTTATTGAGATTTTCCGTCTGTCTGATTGTTTAGTTACACTTTGTGCTGTCATTACTCATGGCTTTAGTGTCTGTGTACTGAAGAAGACATTGTCTGTCAGTTTCCTGAAACTGACCACGCATTTATGTAAGCATTTGCTGTATTTAATGAATAGTTTTATTCATAAACAATGGCATTTGTTTCTAAAACTTTGTGTGGGGTAGTTTAGTGATTATTTTTATTCATGAATCTTTTGTTTAGTGTTGGCTTCAGTTACCTTGAAGTATATCATTTGCTTGAAAGAAATTAGATTTGTGTGGCTGTGAAAATTAGTCTGTTACATTAAACCTTTAAAACATCGTGGTAATAATATGTACCATTAACATTAACTTTAAGAAAGACTGAATTTTGCCCACAGAGTGGGCAGCATTTATTTCCTTATGTTAACGAACATGTTTGTAATGGAGATAAGTTTTCTTTTAGGTTAGGACTGAATTTTAAATACTATTTAGATGAGTTTTGACTTCAAATGGTTAAGGGGAGAACTTCAACATGAAAACATGGTGTTCAGGATATTTGAACTTAAAAGGGACAATGTAATAGGGGCTGGTTAATGTTACATAATGAGGAGCTTGATAATTCTTCTATTCACCAAGGATGATTTAGGCAGAGAATAAAGCAGACATATGAGAGATGAGAAGTGTGTACAGAATGTTATTTGGTAAACTTGATTGGAACAGATCACGTGATTTTTCAAGGCACAGGTGTGAATGTAATATTAAAATGGATCTTAGGGGAAAATGTTGGAATGATTCGGCACAGGAAAGGGACTGGTGGTGCAACAAAAATTAATAATTTTATCTGTTGTTTTGTATGGATGTGAAAATCTTTATCTCTGTCCCTTGAGGGGGGAACAGCCATGTGCTGTGGGGATTATTTTGACCCAGGAGAGAGAGAGACCTAAGTGTAGAGAATGCTGATTGGTGGGGAACTACGTAATTTGTACTCTTCCCCAATTTTATTAGTGTTATCAAATGATGAAGGATGAGATGGGTGGAACTCAGTAGCACGAATGGAAGAGACTAAGCCTGCATAAGTAGAAAGGAAGATCCCACTTGGGGGAACTGTGCATAGGTGTTATAATATTAGATGTTATCTTAATTAGCGTGTGAGCATGTAGGCAGTCTTCTGGCTTGGGGAAGGAACCTTTGATGAATCAGTTTTTATTTTCTATAAAAATGCGTAATTTGTTTACTATCTGAGCAATTGTCATTTTCTCAAGGATTATTCTCCATGAAAAAAGTCGTAGAAATATGGACCTTTCGTTGTCTGGAGTAGTATGGTATGTATGTCGTGTGAAATTGTTGCATGTTGTGGAAAGAAATTTCACTTTCAAGTAGTGGTACTTATGTCGTCTCATTTTACAGTGTACGTATAGAGTTATGATTTTGTTTCAGTCATTGTTTTGCTACGCGGAATTTGCATTAAATGAAAGCTGAAATGGTATGTCATACCCGTTTCTCCATCTGGTCGTCACAAAAGTCACTATATTGATGTAGCTAATGTAGTGTAACGTAACGGTTGCGGTAAAAGTTGAAGCGTACCCGGCTTATCGTTTAAACTTTGGCTGCATGCATCTGTCGAGATTCAGATGTACAACATTTTATGTGCAGAATTTGTTTGTGATATGTAAGTTACGTTCTGTAGCAATAAAGTTGAGACTTGTGTCTGCTCTAAAGAGAGTCAGGACCACGTTAAACGAACATCATCCATTAAAGAGGAATGCAGAATTGCAAATGTTTTTTTAAACTATTCCCAAATGTCCCCTTGTACTATTGTCTTCGTTAGGGTTTCCGGTGTCTATGTAGATTGTCACCACAATGAAAATTAATGATTTCTTGCTTTTCTGTATTTCTGATTTTGGTACTTCCAGATATTCTGCTGTTTCCTCACAGTCACAGATTAACTGTACGTCAAACATTGCTTTGGCTTTCAAAGATTGACGACCCAGGCTCAAAATTAATGTTTATTTAGGCGCTAGAAGGTAGGAATTTGAAACGAAACGTCAGATATATTTATTTCGTGGATATTAGCTATTGCAGAGGTACATTGGTAGAGTTTTTCCCAGTAGTCTTAATAATGGGATCTTTTACTAAAAATAATAGTTTTTCCGCGTTGGATTTTTGTTTTTCCCTTGTAAGTTGTGCGCAGACCGCGTATATTTAGCTAATTTTATTTTGGTTTCGATGTTTATGATATTCCGAACTGTCCTTTTCCACCTTCATTACTTGTCAGCTGACGAGTCGGTGACCATGGTCTGGCTCGGCTGGAAGTTCCTATTTGTCTCTCTCTTTCTTCTTGGTCTGCTTGCGGGGTGCGACGCCAGTTGGTTCAGTCTGCAGCCTGACGTCGGCAGGCTAATAGGTTGTTCGTTTGGCTGGCCGCCTTCCCGCTTATGGTACCGCCTCAATAGCCAAGCTGTCCGCCATCTTCCTTGGCCTTCCATCATTCCAGTTTGTAGTAGTGCGTTCGGATTACTAGCAGAATGTTGCGTAAGTGGTGGTGATTTGATGCTAAATGCAAGTTGCAGGTTTTTGTTAGACTCGTCAAGAATCTCTGTTGTTACAAAAAGGTGCGTCTTTAGTGCTTGGTGTGGAACGAGGCTTCTCTAGATGATATTGAATTGTCGCTGAGTCAATGCGAAGAGGATGCTCTGTTCACCTTCATATATAATTCTCGTTGATACGCAGTACAGGGAACCAGTGGTCAGCTGACACAACCCATCACTTAGGGGGATTTAAAATTCTTTGCAGTAAGTTGCAAATAATTTATTTGTTTTTGTTAAGCGTTATAAAAGTAATAATAGTTTTCATAATTAGTTTTTCTCGTAGGATTCAGTTTAGTTTTAGGGAACCGCTCAGAGCACTTAATTCCATTGGAGATGGGCTTTTACAATGCTGTAGAACATGGAGGTTAATTTCCATTTTGCACTTCAGACTGTTTGGTGTGTGTGTGTGAGAATATTTGTGTTTATGGCATAATTCAGTAAAACTGGGTTTCTGTAATATTCCAGCCCAGTCAGTTTCTGATGTGAACAGAATTAGTCGATTACGTTTTCTAGTTATTTTAACCGAATTGCGTCATGAAAGATAGTCAGGTATACGTTTAGAGAATTTGTCCGCAAGATTTCCCAGTACGGGATATATTATTTGCCGTTTTACATTTCCTTGCTGATCACGTTTCAAAAGAGTGGCAAATGCAGTAGAGCTAATCATATAGAGCAGTAAATTTATTCGAAATGTCTGCGTTCCATTAGACTAAGAACTGGTTTCTTTGTAAGTGTTGAACATGCATTGCAAGTGCCTTATTGATAACGACAACCTCTTTTAAAATTATTGACCAACACTGCGATAACCCTCAGTCCGTCGAGTGGACGAGAAACTGCGTTGCTTTGATTTCGGCTGTTTTATGTAGCAAGATGGATTCGGCCTTGAGTGAAGAAGTTGCGGCTGGCAGTATGTTCGGAGACGGTTTATCAGTGCTCACGAATGGTTACTTTTGTTCGCGTGTGGATCTAATCTTTTGAGATACCCGTAACAAATTTCTTGAGACTGGTTAGCATGTACGGCCATTTCTTTTTTCAGATTAGAGACTGGAGACCCGGATAAGAAAGGATCGAATAACGGTGACATTTTACCATGTTCCTAAATCCACTTTCTTTCTATCTGAAGAAGGCTGTTTTGTCCAGAGTTGTGTAATTTAAAATTTGCAAATTTTGAGTTTATTTTGGTGTCTGTGGAACCTGAGTAATTTCGTGCAGAAATACAAGGAAGTTAAACGAATTTATTTACTTGTGTGAATACCGTTGATGCAGTATTTTACCCCGTACAATTCCCTATGAATGTTAAGAGGTTCTACACCGTCGCTTCTCGCTGTGATTTGAGGCGTTTTCGAAGATAGGGGCCGCTTATTTTATGTACCACTACGTAGGCGCTGTAACCAGCTTGAACCTTAACACTTCTCTCTGGCAGCTTTAAAATTTGGCAGGACTCCTCTAATGGGTGTTCGACCCGTCGCTGCAATGAAACATTTCCAGTGAAAAAAAATTGTTTGAATTGTGCATTTAGTGGTTTGCTACAGTAGGAATCTGCCTGTCTTTGAATGACAAAAACCATCCCGTGTTACACGTTGGTGATTATCGTCTTAGTAATCATTGATAATTGAAAATAAGTTGTTGTAGACCTTACCCATCACAGTTTGGTAAAGTAGATTAAATGTGCCTGTAACTGAGTCTTTCCGCTGTTAATGTGGTTAATGAACTTTCTGCATTGCATTAACTGCTGTTTTGCATTTCTCTGACGGATAGGGGTTGTAAAAATACTTCCTACCAAAAGAAACGCAAGCCGCCTTATCG